AGATGAAGTATGAACAAGCCGAAAGAAAAAGAGCATCTATTCAAGTTGATGCAAGAAAAAAAGTTGATTATGTATCACTCCGGAGGGGACTGATTTACTTCACCAAAAGAAAAGAAAGAGTGAAGCTATAGGGAAATCCTTCGACATCTATGAGAGAAATACGGTCGAAAAATTAGTCGCTAGAATGTTCTACGCATCAGGTTTATCGTTCAACTTTGCAAACTCTCCTTATTTTAAATAATATTCGAAGTTTCTACCTGAAAATTTCATTTCCAGTTATATTCCCCCCATCATATAATAGGTTGAGAACAAGAAAAGACACACATTGATAGAAAGTTACAATCAATTAAAGATACATGGAAAAAGAAAGAATTGTTGATTTGTTCGGATGGATGGTCCGACACTAAAAGATGACCTTTGATCAATATAATGACATCATCTAGTGGAGGTCCAATGTTTTTAAATTCAATCAATTTTAGGAATCGTAAAAGATGAAGAATATATTGCTAACTTGTTTATTGAAGCAATAGAAAATGTAGGTTCAAATAATATTGTTCAAGTTATTACGGATAATGCAAGTAATATGAAACTTGACGGTTCTATTGTGGAGCGAAAATTTCCTCATATATTTTGGACTCCTTGTGTTGTTCATTGTTCGTATCTAGCTTTGAAAAATATGTGCCAACCTTCGGAGAAATCACCTCACTTTACTAATTGCAAATGGATTTTAGAGTTACTTAGTGAAGTGAGTAATTTGAAGAACTTTGTTGTGAATCATGACTTGGCACATGCACTTTTTCAAAAACATTTGAATTTGTGTTTATTGAAAGTTGGTGAAACAAGATTGCCTCACACATTATTATGACCACCCAGATTCGCAAAGTGAAATCGTCTTTGGAGAAAATGGTCATGAATGGAAGAATTATAAGGGGGATTAGGTAATTGAAGCCAAAACTCGTGATATAAAATCTCTTATAATGAATGATGAGATAGTATTGACTACTTCTTGGAATTTACAGAACCAATTGTTGATATGCTAAGAACTGCCGATATTGATGGTCCAAAATTACATCTCATATGATTGAGAAGGTCAAGAAAGTAATCTTTGAGCATGAGGGGAAATTATATATATAAAAAGCAAATAAATAGTTCTTCTCACTAAAATAAATACAATATCCATGTAAATATAAGGAATAAATGTTATTACTTTGATGCAATAGTTAAATATATTCTACATGAACTTGCTATTAATTCTTTATTCTAATATTTAGGCCTTTTAAGTTATTGCTATTAATTCTTTATTTTAATAATTAGTTATTTGTTTCAATTCTCTTGTGAATTAGGAGTCCTGCTCCTTCCCCATATAGATTTATGAGTTTTTTTAGGTTACAACTATTTTTTTTTGGTTATAAAGCTTCAGTTTATATTTACAAAGATTAAATCTCATTCAAATGTGTTTTAGCTGTCTTTTCATTAATATATAATATTATAAAGATAACTTAAATAATAGTTTGAGGGTAAATGTGAAAAGATGATTGTCTAAAGAAGAAATTTTTAATGAAAGGTAAAAAGTTTAATAAACATTTCATATATATATATATCCTTGTTTTTTCTACATTATATTTAACTTATAAATTATAATGATGTTTTTTACTCCTTGTGTCCTCATTTTTATAGTATTTTTTCGAGATTCAAACTTCTAAGTTTTGAATTATATATATTGATAATCACGTAAAAGAAATACTTTAAGTTATAATAATTAAAACTATTTAAAAGAATATGAAAAGATTCCAATCTGAAAATAAACAATTTAATAAAAGGGTTAATTATGTTCAATTAGTAAATTTATCCACGCTTCGGGCTAGGGGTGTGCTTTTGATTTTTCGATTTGGTTTTGTATTATCCGAATTGGGTTTTTCGGCAAACCAAGATATATTTTAAAAATTATTAAATGGTGAAATACACGTGCCAAGTGTGTGTATTTCACCACAAGACACATACCTGATAATGACGTTTTAGGGAGGAATAATTTCACTTTAAAATAGCCTGGGGGGGGGGGGATAGGACCCCCGTGAAGTATAAGTGTGTAGTTGGAAATTCGGTAATAGGTTGTGGGGTTATTTGGCCACCTCCAACCTACACCATAACTTCACTAACATACTCCGAGGACTAAACTGCTCTCGAGTGGGTCCACACACACCTCAGGGCTACTTTAAGAATATCGTTAAAGTTCGTAATTGACCTAAATATATATCTGAGAGACTGGAACAACGAAACTTAAGGGGCTTTACACTATTAGACCAACATAAGGTTAATTTGTTTTTTTTAAAAAAAATTGGCTTTTTATATGGAATGTCAATGTAATCGTTAAACCTATTTTCTGTGGTTGACACTTGTAGTTCTAATTTCATTATGTATTTGGTCATTTCATTCAATCTTTTTTTTAGGGGGGGGGGGGGTAAGATCCGGTCCCCTTGGTTGTATCAGAAATTGAGAATGAGATCTTTGATAATGGACAATTCACATCCTAGGACAAAGATGACAATCAAAGTTAAATTGAATGGTTAAATGAAAGCCAATTCATGAAATCTGCACAATCGTATAGTCTAATATTATTATAGGTCTCAAGTATTTTGGTATATTTGAATTCATCTTACACACATGTGATGGGTGTATGTTACGGTCCTCTATAATGGATCTAGTTATGGGATGTTGCTAGACAAAATCAGAGTTAATGTAGAGTGATGTAGGAGTCTGAAAAGAATTTTTCTTTCCTGTAATCTCTTGAGTTAAAGTACTCAAAAAATGGATAATTCTCTGCATATCATTTCACTGGATTCAAATAACACTAAATACTACACTGGTGGATTATCCACCCATCTGAAAACAAGGAATAACTTCCTACTTCAACTGAAATGAGAAAGTGGAGGAATAACCTCCTTGTGGCAACAACTGCTACATAGAAATAGGAAAAATAAATAACTTGTAAGCTGAAGTAATCTACTCTTTATTTTCCTTAAATCTTCCATGTGTAAACCGTTGGTAGACTAAAGGGGTGCTAAAAATGTAGGTGTTATAGTGTTTTCTAGTATCTTCGGTAGCCTATACCATAGTATGGTGCTTCCTCTGTGAACCAAGAGGTCTAGCCTATTTATTCTGGTGTTAAGTAAATTTTTTGAATTTAAATCGTACAATGAACTAGGCCTTCTTAAACACAATGATCAAAAAATTCCTATTTTCTTTTTTGCTTAATTGCGTATCATTAATAATGTATAACAAAAAATATTATAGATGCTCTTCGCATAACTAAAGATTGATAACCCCAATGTAATACTCTTCCATTTTAATTTATATGGCACTCTTTCTATTTCATGACGTCCTAAAATGTTTGATACAATTCTTCATTAAGGGTAAGCTCGGAACTAAGTGTGAATACTCTATCTAATAGCTTACTTCTGATCTCGCTGATCTTTGGGCATCACATTTGTTATGTCAAGATATGCAGTATCAAAAAATTTGTTATGTCAAGATAGGATTCTCAAATTACTTTATAGTACAACTTTTAGAACTTTAAAGAATTCAAATTCGTTTTCACTATTCCATTTTTAAATTTGAGATGATATCATCTTTATTGCACTAACTTTCCTATCATTACTTATTTACCTTGTTAAAAAGGAAGCTTTTCAAGCATTATTGCTTTTGCTATCACTGATATGATGCAAAAGTCAAACTATTTTTAAATTCCATGTCTAGTCAAACATCATATAAAATAAAACTGAGCTCGGAACAAATTTTCCCCTATCATTACCGAAGACTTATTTCGAATTTTTTGAGTAGCAAGTCGTAGTTGAATAATGTTGAAATTGAAAGCATACTAAACATTATGCCTTCAACACGCCCCTTCACATGTGGACATGATTCTTTTCATGGCAAGCATGTGAAGTTCTTTTTGATACTTGGCAGCGGTGAGACTCGACTGGAAGACTCTAGCCAATTTGATAACATGTTGATTTGTGTGACGCCTAATCTATTAGCTTAAGCTAATAGAATATACTTTTATTTACTTAATATTACGTCTTCGACAAATAATAACGTAGAGAGGAGCCCCCAAGGCCTAGCTCAAGTGGCAAAAGGTGGAGGATTTGTGGCTTAGGTCGCAGGTTCATGCCCCACACCATGCAAAGCGAAGCCCGGTATTTAAGTGGAGAAGGGTAGAGGGGCGGGCCCATTATCCACCGAGTTTAGAAGGCTGTGATTGGTCCAAAGGGCGGGTCACAGACGGATTTCTCGGTTATCAAAAAAATAAAATAACGTAGAGAGGAAAAACTTAAATTGATGGCTGGTTACGGGTAAGAATGCAGACTACACAACAAAGTAAGAAAAAACCTTGACAAGGTCAAATATAGTCTTATTTTGAGCATTAAGTTCCTTTGGTAGCCGCTATACTTTAAAATCGGAAGCGAAATTCAAAACATAAGTTTCACAAGAAAATCTGAGTTGCATGAATGTTATGTTTTGGTTGATTCTGGCTCTGGAAATTCTTCTGACATGTATGGCTAGGCATGTGAAATATGTAATATGTTGAGAACTATGTTCCTACTGTTAGGTTGATTGCCAATTGTAATATTTCAAGTCTGATTCTGGAACTGTAATGAGAATTCATTATGATGTTGCTGACACTGGGAATTCCAATATCCATGACGAAAGAGAATTCATGTGATATACTGAATGCAGCCTTGCTAGAGTTGCATTTTGATGGGTTTGTGTTTTGTTCTCTCTTAAAAACCTTATACTTATTATCATCACATCTACCATTAATACACCAATCTTTCGTCATGGATATTGGAATTTCTAGTGTCAGCAACATCATAATCAACATTTCTATCCTTTGTACTTATATGCATATATTTATAGTTTACTACTCATTCACTTACATAACTAAAAGGTTGGCTTCATTCATTGTACATTATAGTTAAATAGAATATTCTTTTACATTCTAGGGGAGATGGGTCCAGATTTTAGCCCAAAAATGTCAGTTAAATCTCTAACACCACAGCAAATAGTTCGCATCCATCAGTTGTTTCGTCAAGCCAAATTTGATGATCCCAGTGGTGATGTAAGTTCCTCTTTGTGAAATTCTTGCCTCTTTTCCAATTTCCTTTAGCAACAGCAAACTATAAATGTTTGGTGATTCCCAGTTATCTCATGCATATGATTTCTAAGCCATATTGCAGATTTTAAGTCCTGCTGGAGAATATAATCTACGTCTTGGCATTATAAAGGAGCTGCACCCAGATATGGTTGCTACCTTTTCAGGAAGGTTGGATCATATATGAAGTTCTTCATCTACTTAGTTTGATGAATCCTTTGATTGGATAATACAAATCATAAAGTGTTAAAAGCTACTATGTCTTCTGTCCAGTGCTCAAGTATTTGAAGGTCATCCATTCATCGTGGAAGCTGGAGTTAGTGTTGGTGGGAAAGATGTTAAACAAGTAAGAATCTCCCTTATGGTAAAGTATATAAAACATGGAGAACGTAAATGCTTAGTCCTGAAATTGATTGTGTCTATTCAATATGTTGTATCTCCAATGTTAGAAGCAAAGGACCCATGAGAATGCATCTTTATCTGCATTTGATAAGTAGTTAAAGATGGTTTGATTTAGGATATGTTTATCTGTTCGGTTGGGTCAATATTTGTATAAATCAGTTGCACGAATCGGCCATTGGTTTGTAGATATGCTCTCCTGTGAACCGAGCTGATAAGATATCGATTGCTTCGGTTTTCCGAGCAGTTTTGGTCGGACATATGAATCTCTGCTGCAAATATTCCCCATGGTCTTTGCCTTACTCCTCTGTAGCGCTTGTTCTCCAAGGTATCTTTTGCTTTCTGAACAAAGTACTCTGTTGCTTACTCCATTTTCCTGACAGGAGGTATTGCAAAAGTCAAGGTAGGTTTCTTCAATTGAAGCTTTTGTGCTTCAGGAAAATTGAGCTTGTTAGAGGTCCAATCTGGCATTTTGCTTTGATTTCAATGAAATCAAATTCAGCTTGAATTCTTGAAGTAGCTAGAGAAGTCATGGGTCAAACTTTGAGTCGTTTTTGTGTAAATGAAAGTGGGATCAAAAGAGAAAGTATGTTTCGATATTAGAAGCAAAAGATTCCAAAAAATTGGATGCAAATCTTTAGTTGGGGTGTTGCCAACAAGCCAGAGAGACAGCAACTGGAGAGACGAGAGAAAAGAGAAATGTGCGCTGAGGTGAAATGGTGAATGGCTCAACCCGGAATCCCTAGCCCTTATTTGTATAATGGTCTGGTTCGATTAAAAAATTGGGATACTTGACCACCTAATTATTATCGATAAGTATATAAATTAGCTCAGTATCCTGAAACATTTTCCCGAATACCTAGACTTTTTAACCGATATGACTTTTTCAGTTTGGTATTTCGGGTACAACTGAGAACAGCCCTAAATTGATTTTTTGAAAGAACCTGATCAAATGATTGTGGAAGCACTATATGATAGCCAAATTCTTTTTCTTTGTTATGAGCTTGACATTACTAAATGGTGAGGCTTTGGAGGGAATCACCTGGTGTTAATGATATATTTCCTAGGAGCTATAACAAGTAATTTTTAGGCACATCCTCTGCTCTTCCCATATCTGTGTAATAAATAGATGAACTTCTGTTTGTTGGATGATTAGTGTTTCTTTTCTTTTTCTAATAACTGATCAGTGGAAAAGAAAGAGGAAAAGAGAAGCAACTGTCACTGGAAATTTCTAATCCATAAAACTTTTGTTGCTTCTCTTAGCTTATTGCCTCATGACGCAGTTGGTCTTAGTCCAATTGTTACAACTTTTTTGTCTTCTAAACTTATTGATCTCATATTGTTGCACTGACTATGCTTGACTAAATTTTAGGGGCTGAATGTTTTCCGATTTGCTAATCGGATTCCACTTCTTTTTGAGCAAGGTGCTGATGTTGTTACCAGGACTGCTATGAAGAGAATCAAGTAAGGCATTTAAAGCCCCTATGAAGTTGCTCACACTTCTCATTCATAAAGTAACTAAGAAACTCTGCTAGTCCTGGTGTGTGGTGGGGGGGGGGGGGGGGGGGGGGGGGGGGGGGGGGGGGGGGGGGGGGGGAA